GAGAGGAGGGGAGGAGGAGAGGAGGGAAGGAGGGGAGGAGAGGCAGGCATGAGACAGCAGCAGCATGTTTACTGCTGCAGGGCTTCAACAAAATATTAATATAATTAGTAGTAGCTTTTGTGTGTCAGTGGTTTCCAATCTATTTTTTTCTCCTTTCATTAGTAACTAGAGTTAATTAGAGTTCTGTTTTATTTTAAAATGTATTTGAATATCAAAACAAGGCCGCAATTAAATCCTGTAAAGGTCCATCTTCCTCCACTGGTGGGAGAATATTTGTGCATTAGATCAGTGCCTGAAATGGGCCGATACTCACCAGTACTGAGCACCATCCCTCTGATTTTTGTCCACAGGAGTACCCTTACTTCTTTTTGAGTACCACCACTTCTGTTGAGCATGGCCGTACCCACCACTAAGGTGACCAAGGTATTTTCTTTCCAAATAATTAACTTTACTTTCATGCTTCGATGCCCCCAAACCCAAGTTCAGTTTGTGGACCTCATTATTTCTAAAACCCAGTGTACAGCAGTCCGAAATGTCCTTGTTAAAAGATTTAAGGTTAGGGTTGTTGTGTTTAGGGATAGGGTTGTACTGAATTAGGGTTCTTATTTTAACTAAAAGATGACTACATTTTCTCACATCACCTCCAATGCCCAAGGATGCCTACACGAGCTATCTAGCAAAAACATTATTATCGTAACATAAAGTAGTAGTAGCTTTTTTAAGACTGATAATAATACGTTTCTTACTGTCGGTTAGCTGTTATTGTACTATTGATTTCAAAATCATCTTCCCTCAAACATCCTACTACTACACGTTCACATAGGCTATTACCAAAAAAGGTTATTTTTGTATAATTCTCATATTAGCAGTAAAGAAAAGACTCCCACCAGTCTGAAATCTGATTAATTGGTATAATTAGACAAACCAAAATCTAGTAATAACTTACAGTAATAAAAATAGTCTCAATCAAGGCTTTTAAATAACTTTACATTTATCTTTATGGACAGATGGAAGCTTTTAATACATGATCAGCATATGATAATAATTGGAGTCCATTGAACTCAGTGTTATGAACTGGAAAAGAGGAGGAGCTGATTTATTGAAAATTGGCCTAACTATAAAAAAAGTAGCCCAGATTATCACAAGCCACCGTAAACATGCAAAGATAACAAAAAACAACAAAAAAACGAGTTCAACCAGGAAGAAAACCAGACAACGATGGTGCAAATGTGTCAGAACAGATCCTATTATAACAATCATTTGACATTATGATGTGAAACAGAGTAGATATTTCTCTTATGGTGACATTGATTTAATTTAAAGCTTCATTTGTGACTGTGCTCTCAGTCTGCTTCAGCTGGCATTAAACACCCTCCATACACTTTCCCAGGAAAAACGTCATTGAAGGTCTCCGCGCTGCATTTTGCCGACTTTTTTTTTTTTTTTTTTGGCAGGTGCAGGCGGTGCAGGTCTGGGCGGATCCGTGGACACAAACCATGTCGTCAGATTGATTCCCGATTGTCACTGCACAGTATTCAGAGACACCAGGAGCTCTGCTGCCAACTTAACCACCTTTACATGTCACATTACTGCTCCTTAAAGCTAAAAACCCTCAGAGAAGTGTTTGTTTTTCTGCCTTTTATATGCAGTTTATTTTATTTACTGCATGTTTTAATGTCACCTGAGGTTATTTGTTGTTGTTTTTAACAATAATTAAAATATCACCGACCAAACTACATAAAGAACACGTTTCTAATTATTAATTATTTTTTATTATTATATAATAATAATTTCATATTGATCACCATTATGCACAGCCATGTTTTCTCCCTCATATCCATCTGTTACCTTACTACAAGCAGGCACTGCCACCATGTGGTTGAAGCTGAACACGTTGGCGGTGCAGTGACCTTTATTTTTCTCCAGTACAGTTAAATATCTTGTGTTTCAGTAAGTTTTCGGGCAGGCTTGCAGACAAACATGTTTAACTCTACACCATCATTCACCATGGAGGTTGTTCAGGGACTGTGAGGGATGGCCACTTTAAGGATTAGTTTGTGCAAGTGGATAAGCTGTTATCAAATTAATCCATGGATAGCTTATCTGCAAGTGTTTTATCAATACCCTCTCCTCTCTTTTACTATTTGTTACCTATTGAGCAAATGGAAGAAGATTATACCAAATGTTGACGTTAACTTCACAGTGGAAAAACGTTTATAGAGAGCTGATTTACTTCTAAGGCTTTCTGATACTAGATCAGTACAGGATATTAAAATATCTATCATCGAAGACATCATGTAAAATAATTCTTTTCATATCCTGACTTGCCTTGTTTTATATTCTCTTGCAGTATAGCTCAGTTTTGATGGATAAGTCAATATATTTTATAAGTTTCACAAGTTCTGTGCTGGATTTGTAGCAGCTCTGTCATTTTGGCACGCAGCTTCTGTTGTGTGTCCTGTCTACAGAATATTTATACTTCACCAGGCTTTAAATTGAAAATGAGATGACTGTTTTACACATTCAAGTGTCACTTTAATTTCTCTCTAACAATAAATACAAAAATAGTTAAACGTCCCTTTAAGACAGGGAGCCAAAACTGAAATCATTGTAAAGATTCAGAATGATTCTAGGATGCCAGATTCCCGTAACTGACTGTATGCCATGCTCAGATAATGAAAAATTATTTGTGATCCTACATATTTAATGAGCATTTTAGCCCACAAAAAACAAGAAAAACAACCCATTACTTAATAATACAATCCGGTTACATGGTGTAGCATTATTTGTTTCACACTTGATTTGTATTATTTGAGCACTGACAGTCGAGCCTTTAATTTATGTACCCGAGTTTCACATTTGTGTTGTAATGACTGCAGGACAGAAATAATCTAGACAGATTTAACAGTTTGTGAAAGCTTTATTCGGTTAAATTGCAGAGACTTTATTCAATATGTATGAGTCTCTCGACCCACATTCACAAAATATTAAAAAAAAAAAAAAAAAAGTCACCATTCATTTCTGACATGTACTCAAAAATTAAAGACAGATGTCAAGTGAGTGTTTTTGTATAGGTATCAAATCACTAACTTATTTAGATGACTTTCTGCTGAAGAGACGACACTTGTGGTTCTGACCCACGACACACCACGCCAATGGCTGGAGATAATGGACATGAACGCAAAGAAATTAATCACAACACACGAGAAGTGTCCTGAATACACGCAGGCTGGGAAAAAAAAAAAGCCAGTCAAAATAATACCAGATTCCATAAGCATTACACAAGAAAGCTGAAATAAACCACCAACGGAGACGTTCGCATTTAAGTTCACATATCAGGGCAGTGAATGCATCACGTGACATCAGAAGCAGAATCACAGTTTTATGACAATGCCAAGAGTTCGCACTACAAACAAAACACATACTCGTCAACATTTTGGGGAATGAATACCATTCCCACCTAACCTTGAACTGCTCTGAACACTTCAACAAAGCACAGGGGAGTGGATGGAATCGTAACATGGCTGACAGCTAGGACAGGCTGCAAGACTGACGGGGTTTCATCACTGATCAAAATGTTTTCCCCGTCACTTGGTATTTCATCAAAATATGAAGGGGTTTAAAAAGGTGGACTTCTGTAAATCATGAGGGAAAAAAAAAAATCTTGGAAGCACATCTAACAAAAGACCCACATCAACAAGCAAAGTGGGCACATTAATGACTCAAGATCTTATTTCAAAAGAAGCCATGTAAAAGGCAATTTCCTCCCCTTCATTAAAAATCAAAAGCCACCATTCAGGCCTATGGTGAGCAACTATCAGTCTATTTTACGGCCTACGGGTAAACCAACCTCAGTGTTTGCTGTCTGCTGAGGCAGAGCGGGAACGCGAACGAGAACGAGAACGAGAACGAGAGCGAGAGCGAGAACGAGAGCGGGAGCGAGACTGTTTGTTCTGAGCGGGGGCGGGTGAACGCGAGCGAGACCTGGAGCGGGACTTTGAGCGGGACTTGGACCTGGAGGGGGATCTGGCAGCAGCCTTGCCCCCTCCTGACGACCTCCTCTCTGGGGTGCGACTGGCAGACCTGGAGCGGCTCCTGGAACGGTTGCGGCTCCTGGAACGACTCTTTGAGCGAGAGTAGCTTCGGGAACGGGAGCGACTCTTGCTGTGACTGTTGGAAGAAAAAAAAGATAATTTTAATATCAGGTTAAAAAGGAACAATTAGTTGAGAGGATTGATCGCACTCATCTCCATAGGCTCAAAAGGTGATTATCTGCTGGCTCAACCATCTCATTTTAAGCATTGAAACTTAAAATGGGGAAACAGCTCGCCTTGTTTAAAGTTTATAACAGATGTAAAAATGATTTACAGGTGTCTTCTTTCCACTGAGCCTACCTACCATTTCCCTGCTTCCAGTTTTTATGCTAAGCCAAGCCTCTGCTGGCTCTAGCTTCATACTTGAGATGAGAGGGCTTTTGATTTTCTCATTCAATTCTTCCAAAATGTTTAAGTATTCCTGTATCAAAACGCCCAGTTTACTGACGCTACAGGTTTCTACATCATTGGGTAATCCTTCACCTGCTACTATTTAGTGTAGTAAGTCCTGAAAACACAACTCACCTTCTGCTATCTTCAAAGATCTTCAGCTTGCGTCCATTCAGTTCTGTCCCATCAAGCTTGGCGATGGCGTTCTTCATGTCACTTCGAGATGCGAACTCAACCACTCTGTATTGAAACAGAAACTTTTATTAATTAGGCCCAAAATCTAAAAAACAAAAAGAGCGTTTGAGAGTTTTGAGAAGAGCAACTCACCCTTCATTTTTGTTGGGTCTGTGAGCGTCCACAAAGGTAACTTCACCTGCTTTTCTCATCAGGTCTTTCAGGTCCTGTTTCAAAGCATAATGTAGGATTAGTGACAAAGATCAAACCATGAGGTGCCAGTGAGAGCCTTTCAGACCTGGAGGGAGAGAAATGAGCAAGCAGCAAGACACCAGCACACACTGAAACTTGGGTTACCTAATGCTGACTTTTGTCACTCTGTGATAAGCTCCCATTTCAGTGGAGGACATATAAACAAAAGAGCCACTGAAAATGCTTTGTGTGGACGAGTGTTGCCTTTACTCAAACTGTTTTAAAGTCCCATTAAATGCTTTCATGAATTCGCTTTAAGTTGTTTTTAGCTCATGAGCAAAAAACTAATTTCAACTCCAAAATGAGACGCCTGAAAGGTAACACGGCAGTTAGGGTTTTCATGTATTTGAGGATAACTCTTGATGTTTTTCTGCATACAGGCTAATATTGGATTTTGTGTCTGAGTATGTGAGATAACCCTGTGTATTTATTGGTGGCTGGATGACAACAGTACTATGGGTAAGTGGACAACAATCTGACCTAGAGTTTCTGACTTATTTGGCTCAAAAGTCGTTTAAGTGTTTACACAGTAAAACTGCCCCCTTCCCATTTGAGACTGTAACTCTACACCCCCTTTACCACCCAACCCTGAACAAACCCAATCACATGAGTTTTATGCTACTTACCGCTCCAAACCCAGGAAGATATTATCATAGAGCCACTTGTCCAAATAGCAAATGGGAACCAATGCAGTGTTAAGCCCTTGAGAAACGACCTCGGCCTTGACTCAGCATCCGGCCTCCACAAGTAAGGAACCACCAGAGAGCAAGTAGGGGGAGGGGTGTACGCCCGACTCAACACCCCCCCCAGCTCCATCAGCAACAGAAAAAGACCCAAACGGGAGAGTGTAGGGGCCGTGGATTTGAGGGGGGTTACAGCAGTCGGGGATGCCAGCCCACAGAACCTCCAGACTGTGGCTACGGACCTCCTAAGGCTACCGTATCCTGCGCTAGACCACTTTCACCCGCTACGGGGCCCAGCCAAGACTTTAGACCGGCGGCAACTGCGTGTAAGGAGAGGCACCAAATGGACACTATTCAGAAAAACAACCAGGAGAGGGCGCTACACACTTCTGACATCTCCGTGGAGGGTGTGCATTCACCTCTGATATAAAAAGGAAACCATATCAGAGCAGCTGTTAAAAAAAAAACAGTTAATTGTTTTTGTTTTGAATGCCCATCAGCAACTAACATGTGCTTTGGTCTGGGGGGAAAAATGGAGATAAAGTAAAAAAAAAAGAAAAAAGAAACTGGGGGCTTTGTTTTGTAAAAGGCCAATTATCTATTTTTTGTGTAATCTGACTGGAGACAAATTGACCCGGCCTGATTAAATGAATGCTGCTGCTTTTAAATAACATGTAATAACAGGGTGATATATTGGGGTTTTTTTTTTTTTTTAAAGCCTGTGCTGTAAGATACATAAACATGTTCAGTAATCTCTTACCTGCCAGCTAATCCGTGAAGAGAGGTTCTCCACAATGAGCCTATGGTCAGTTCTCACAGGAGGTCCATACCTGTCCAGTCAGCAAAAAAGAATAAGAAAAAGACTTTAATACGACATTTTCTGTGAGAAAAGTGCGACGACAAATGCATCCAAATCAAACTGGAGCTCTGGACTCTTAAAAACGCTAAAGAGGTGTTTCTAAACATTCACCTGAAATTATTCTCACAGCAAGTTGTGCGTCATGTTCGCTGCTGCTGTTGTATTTACTTAAGCTTGTGTCAATATTTGAATTTGATTGAAAAGGCGGAACAACAGGTTCACGTTAATGACTTTTTTATGCTTATTTATTTTTGCCATGTCAAATTTTTGAACAATTTGTGTACTTGGATTAGCAGACTGACCAGGCTGGAGTAGTTCACATCAGTAACATCAATTTGACCTTAATCAATAAAATAAACTGTTCTCTGTATAGGCGAGACAGGTTACGTTTTTTGTGAGGTACTTAATCATTTAGTTCACTCACATGTCAAACTGAAGCCTGCTACTTTATTTGACTAGAAAACAGTCTCTCTCTGCACTTTCTCCATAATGTGTTTGACGTATGATAAGGCAACAATTTAAGAAATGTTTTAAATCAGACACAAGGTCACATCTGACTGTATGTGAACATCTACAAAGTCTGAAATATTCACATTACACTGTGGAAGAAGTCAGAAACCTCTTTGACTGTACTGGAAATCTCCTCTGACTGGAAAACAACATGTGTAGAAGCTTTAACTGACTAGTTAGCTACGGTTTCAGAAAGTCAGTGTAAAGCAAATGTACCTGGAGCCACTGCTGCGAGACGGGCGATATCCGCCACCTCCACCGCCGCCGCCGCCGCCACCACCAC